GAGGGTGCTCCAACGTCTGTGTACAACAAGAAGCAGGTTATACAAATATTACAGCAGAAGCCCGTACGCAAAAAAAACGTCAACAAGGCTACAAGACAAACACGGCCAAATACAAGACAGGCCGGGTGGCATAAAAAAGAACGTGGGTACAGGGGACGGGGAGGGAGGGGGCAATCAAAAGCATCGTTGCCGACGCCCGTACTGCGAAAAAATAACGCCGGCGGCAAGAAGAAGATCAAACAGTGGTCGGAGGGTGTACCAACGTTTTCTAAAAGACGACCAGGATGCCGCAGAACAGCGACCCAACACATGCAATACGCTGCAGCACACCGGATTCGATCTTCGATCTACCTAGAAAGCCAAACAATGTCCTTCTTGTGCTTCTTGCGGTACGCGAAGCTCGTCGTGAGCTGTCGCTTGCGCACCGTGCGCCCGATCTCCAATTGAGGCTGGTCGTTGACGTCCCTCCTCCCAACAGATCCACAGTCCGCCTCCAGCTCCGTCGCCAACGTGGCCCCCACCCCAGCACTGCTAACTCGAATCGTGTTCTCCACCAGCTGGTCCATGCCGTCGAAGGTGTGCAGCATGTTGTGCATGATGCAGCACGTGAAAAACACGTCGTCGATGCGCTCCTGGCTCTGGTACGCCATGGCGAGCTTGAGGATCCTAAAGCGACCCTTCAGGATGCCGTCGGAAGCACTCCCGTCCCTGCGTACGCTGTCCAGCCTCTTCGAAAAGAGCAGATCGTTCTCGCTCAGCGGGTACTTGGAGGGCTCGATCAGGATTTGCCACTGGAAAAACGCGACTGAGAGAGGGAAGGCGGAGACGGGTTCGGTACTACGTTGTTAAAAGCTGTGATATTTAAACTCGGAGACTCAAGGGGGGGCTTCGGGGTTGAAGGGAGGCGCTCTAAAAATAACAGCAGCTATGAAATACCGGGGTAGATTACAAGAGTGGGCAGCCGAGGATCTAATTGCCGTATCCGACATCTCCATACCATGAACGATNGCGGGTACTTGGAGGGCTCGATCAGGATTTGCCACTGGAAAAACGCGACTGAGAGAGGGAAGGCGGAGACGGGTTCGGTACTACGTTGTTAAAAGCTGTGATATTTAAACTCGGAGACTCAAGGGGGGGCTTCGGGGTTGAAGGGAGGCGCTCTAAAAATAACAGCAGCTATGAAATACCGGGGTAGATTACAAGAGTGGGCAGCCGAGGATCTAATTGCCGTATCCGACATCTCCATACCATGAACGATTGCGTTGAAACGGTCCGAAAGTAGCTGCTGCGTCATTTTCCCCGACAACAAAGACTTTGCTGGCCAGCGCTCTCTCTTTCTGTCTCTGTCTCTGTCTGTCTACACTCTCTGTCTCAGGCCGGACACATGTCTCTTCCAAACAAACGTTTTCGCCACTCAAGCACACGGTACTTAATGTATATGCACCTTGTGGTACCCGTTGTCGACGAGCAAGTACCACCCCTTGAGCGTCGTCGTCGTGCCGTCCTCATTGTACACGTCGAACGTCTTCTCTGTGTACTGCTTGTCCGTCCGAATCTTCTCCACCGCGGCATCCCAGCAGACGATGGTCTGTCGTTCGTCGAGCCGGTGAAACCCTCAGTCACGGCAATTGCCCGGCCAGCGTGATCAACCACGACCTGGTACGCGATCGTGGGAAACCCCTCCTTGCCTGTGTACGAACGGGCTTGATTGTAGGGGCACCTGCTCCAAGCGATATGTGTGACGTCCATAGAACCCACCGCACCCGTAAACCCAACCCGATCGTACTACGTGGTCCAGCTTGCCGCTCTCTTCCGCAAGTAGGTGAATGTGTTCATCGTACATGTCCCGTGCGAAGTGCCTGCAGAACTTGTGGAACATCCCCTGCACGGTCTTCGCGCTCATCCACGACACCTGGAATATGCTTGCAAAGCAGTTGTTCCTCCCCAGTATGGTCAGCCAGGCCAGCACCTGCAGCACCAAGTCGCCAACGCATGTACACACGGGGATACAAGGCGTACACATGGTCATTGTACTGCTGTTGTCCGCGCGTGGAAGCATCTTACCGGCTGCAGGACTGAGTTTTGCGCTGTGCATACGACAGCAAACAAACACTTGTACGAGGTGACTCGAATCTCTTCTCCAGCCTTTCATCTCTCGGCATCTCGACCCAATGTAGATACACAAGTATCTTCCTGCTGCCTAGAGTAAACCAGGGTATTAACGAACACCCCCCCTTTAACGAACACTTTTTTCAAATGCACGTCCCTCGGCGCACAATGCGCGGAGCCCCCCAATTTTTTTTTTGAAATCTTCAGCTTTCCGTTAGCTTTCGTTTGAGCACCTCCGCGTGTCGATCGGGTCAAGCACTCCCGAGATACAGCACAGCCCTCACCCACACCCCTTATGTGGGGCATCTTTGCCCTTTTCGGGGTCCTGCTGCTAAGCATGGGACGTAAGAGAGTAGACCCAGAGCAGGCCCAGAAGGCTGTAGATGCGGTACGCAGCGGTGAGATGTCGCTCCGCGTTGCTGCGAGGACCTACGGGTTACCGCTAGCCTCGCTGCACGACCGTGTGAAGAACAAGGTGGCCATAGATGCGAGGGTTGGTCCCGGGACTGTCCTGAGCAAGGAGGAGGAAGATTTCGTAGAAGACGTCTTGATGTACGCCTCCCGACACTTCTTGTTGTTGGGTCGGAGGGAGCTGAGAGACGCTGTGCGCAACATCTGCACCGACGGGCGCAAGGTGCCCTGGGACCCAGACAAGGGCCCTGGGGACAGCTGGCTTGAGGGGTTTATGGCGAGACACCCGGGTTTGTCGGAGCGAGCCACCCACATCTACGAAGCAAACCGGATTAACGAAGACGGCGAGCCTCGCCTTCAAGCTTTCTACAAAGCATGGGCGGAGTACCTGGAGGAGACCAAGCTCCCGCCGGAACGCATCCTCAACACGGATGAGACAAGTGAGTTAGGGCAAGGGTTGAGGTGTCAGTAGGTGTCATTGGGTGTCAGCGGTGTCAGTATCGACTGCTGTGGGTTCGTAGGCGAAGTACCAGCAGCACTGCGATGTGTCACAACAACGCGGAGTTCTGCTGCTGCAAAAAAAAAAGATCCAGCAGTTGTCCCGCATATCTTCCGAGCCGTTGCTGCTTGTCATGCGCGTAGCACACAACACGCCCGCATGTTTGCTGCTGGAGTCGGCTGAGGTTAGCATGTAACAGTCCCTGTGGTCATCTCAGTTGCACTCTGCCGCATGATTGCATGTGTACATCGTTTTCTGTTGTGATGCTACCGGCAACAGCGGGCGTGTGTTCTTGGTCTGCAAAATGCATGTGTGTTGCTGAACGACGCGCGAAGTGCAGACTAGTCTAGTCACGTCGAGACTTCAGTAGAACGCTTTGTTTTTGTAAACCCACCTACGTTTGGAGCTCAATGCAAACTGCCATGGGTGTGGGGTTATTGTTTCGCACCCAAAGTTTAAACGAATCCGACACTTGCCGCACAAAAAATGGCCTTCACCACTGCTGTGTGCCACCACCCGGAGCGAGCAGCACCCATGTGTGTTTGTACGCGCGTTTTTTGTGTGTCTAGTTTACTGATTGTTCAACTGTCTTTACCCCCGATGCGCGCGTGTTGTAGGTTCGACCCCTCAAGGTACAAAGTCGGGGAAGGCAATCGTCGCAAGAGGCACCAAGGTACCCGGCGCGAGGCGTTCCAATTCGCGAGAAAATACGACGGTGGTCGCCACCATCGGTGCCGACGGCCACACGTTCCACCCTACCATCATCTTCAAAGGCCAGCGTATGCAACCCGCTTGGATCCAGGACAACAACGGCGTCCCCGATGCGAAGTACACCGTCACGGAGTCATCCTTCATCCAGAGCCACGTCTTCCTGGACTACCTTCGAGACCTCCGCAAGCAGCTCGATGCGCGCGGCTTGCTGGGCAAAGCTGCCCTTGTGCTCGACGGCCACGCCTCACACACGACCTTCGACGCCATCAGCTTGGGCATCTCCCTGGACATGGACCTATTCCAGCTTCCATCCCACACATCGCACATCACCCAGCCCTTGGACGTCGGTACGTTCGGAACCTTCAAGATGGAGATCACCAAGGTGCTCACGGCCTACCCGCTAAAGAACGGGGGGAGGAGTCCGGTGAAGCGCGACATGGCTGGCGTGATTGCGGAGGCATGGGCAGGGAGCTTCACGCCTGAGAACAACAAGGCGGCGTTCAAAGGGTCGGGCTTGTGGCCGGTGAGCATGGAGAAAGCTATCAACAGACTACACAGCAAGAGGAAGCAACGGGACCATGACCGCCCTATTCGTGAAGACCTCGCCGTGGTTGCCTCTAAGGATCAACTCGAGCGAGACCTCGGCCGCGCTGCCCTCCTGGAGCTGAAAAGACACGGGCTGATGATCGAGGGGCTCCGTGTCAACACCGTGTTCCTTGGCGGGCTCACCCGCCTCACCAAGCGCACCAAGGCTTTCGCGACCGTTCGGGCGGGGGGGGGGAAGCCCGAAGGTGGTCTGCTGTCCGCCGAAGAACATCTTGCTCAGGCCAAGAAGGACCAAGAAGCGAAGCAGGCAGCTGAGGAAGCAAAGGCGGCACGCGCGGAGGCAAGGGCAACGAAGGAGGCCAACCAACAATCTGGAGCAGTTGGTGGGCGGGGCGGCGGGCAGGGCGGCGGGCGGGGCGGCGGGCGGGGCGGCGGGCGGGGCTTCGGGCGGGGCGGCGGGCGAGAGGGGGGGAGAGGTGGAGGGCGCGAGGGTGGGAGAGGTGGAGGGCGGAGCGGGGGGCGTGGCGAAGGACGGGGCGGGGAACAGGACGGAGGGCGGGGAGAGAGGAGCGTGAGGGTTGAGCTAAGCGGGACGCGGACGGCGATCAGGGGGCGCGGTGGCGGTGGGCGAGAGGGGCGTGGCAGAGGACAGGGTGGCCAGGACCGCACCACTGGTGCTCGTGGAGAGCAAATGGGGGCGGGAGGGCGGGGGGGGGACGAGGGGAGAGGTGCTCCCGTCCAAGGAGGAGCGGGACGGCCGAGAGGGGCGGCGGTTCCCTTGGTTCACCCGCCGCCGTCGGCGGCTCCCATTTCTTCCCGAGGACGGCAGCGGATCCCGACACCAATCGTTGATGTTTAGACCAGGGCAGATGCTTTGCGGTTGTTGTTGTTTTTCTGGGCTACTATTGTCTAGGCGGTGGATGAATTAGACTATACGAGTAAAGCAGAAGATTAGGTGGTTTGTGGGGGCATGTGGAGATGGTTAGGGTGCACCCCAGCAGCGCGGGGGGGGCGGGGGGGTTGATACCGGGAAACCCGGGGATATGGTAATTTTGTCCCCGGGCATGCATGATTTTTTTTTTTTTTTGCAACAGCGTTTCTTGTGATAAAACAAACCTACACACCAAAGGGCGTCTTGTGGGAATGTAAGATGACTGTGAAAAAAGGGAAATGGCCTTGGGGTTCTTGCGGAGAATTATAGCGGTAGCGGCCGGGTCAAGGGGTGCCTGTTTGAACGGGCATTACATCACATGCGCGAAGTTTTTCGTCCTAATTTTTTTTTCTTGAGTCTGTATATGATCAGATTAGACCCACTGTGCAATAATCTCTTAGTTTTGGCTCTTTTCATGTGTGCAGCACCGCCGTACGGTCAAAAATGGGGTAAAATCCGTCCCCGATTTCAGGCGGAAAACCCGGGGATGTGAGGATTTTGTCCCCGGGCGTGGATCGATTCCATTTTTTTTTTTCCTAAACGGATATATGTTGCGACAGACGTATCTCCACAAAAAATCAGATCATGAAACGCTTCAGAACGCACGAAAGCAGCTACAAAGCTAAAGTGTTCGTTAATTGGGGGGGGGTGTTTTCCTGCATTTTCAGCTAAACAATGGAATGCACTGCATCAGCTCTATCTCGTTGACACGAACTTTGTTTTAGGGAGGTAGCCTATAATACAAGCTATCGTCCGGTACCCACAAATACATCATACTCCTCTTCATGCCCGAGAACGAGCTGTTGGCGCGAGGGGTGGCTTAAGCGTTCGTTAATTGGCCGGTTTACTCTACAGGTAGTAGTAGGTGCAGCTCTACATACAGCAGAGCTGTTGATACTGCTTTAGAGCAGTACCGAGGTGACGAACGATTTTCGCTACTTGTGTACGCTGTAGTCTACTGCTGTACATGGGTACAGGGTACAGGGTTGACACAAACTGCATTAAATAGCTACACCTGCAGAGCTTTTCGGTCTCAATATTAGACTATGCTGTGCTGTGCATGACAGAAGAGCGACCGGGTGCACCACAAGACTGCCGAGTGCGACCAGCAGTCGAGAAGCATTGTGCAAGGGATGGATGTACTTGAGACGGCATGCAATTGACGAAGGAACTGCCGTGCTGGCTTTGTCAAACTCTGCACTGTTTTACTGCAGCAGTCTAATTGGTTGTGGACAGAGAGTCTGCACTTCAACAATCCAGCATCTATTTAGCTTACCTTGTGCTCCACTGGGTGACTTGCCCGACCTACGGCGTCCGTCGCAGCAGCCAAGAACCAGTTCTTGCTCTTGACCAAGGCAACAAGCCGAAGGAAGAAGGTGTAGGGTACGCGGAAGTCCACTCGAAACTGCTTTGCGGTGATGCTCGTGCTGTCCTCGAGGTCTTTATCCTCCAACAGCTGTGCCCACGCGCATGTCTCCACGTCTTTCCTCTGTCTTTGCGACCGCGCAAGTCTCTCGAAGGGAAGGTCGCTAGCCGGATCCTCCTCCAGGAGGTCCTGCTGCGACAAGTCGTTGCGTTGTACCTCATCTACGGCAACCAACGCCACAGCCAACGCCCTTGCTGGCAACAGGGCACATCCATGCCGGCGGCGGCCATCGGAAGAGCACCCGGGCTGCTGTTGAAGGTTGGAGTCAAGCAAGCGCCACTGTTGCCGCCAGCGAGCAGCGCCAGAGACGGCAGCCACTTCCACATGGGGGATGCTTCTGTTTTTTTTTTTTTTTTCTCCCATCATTGGACTCTGTCGTCTGCCCCTCTGGCCCCTATCCTCCACTTCTACTAGCTAGACGACCCAACCGGGGTCACATAGGAGGGGGGGTTTGGACCCCCTCCTGCGGTACATGCCTGAGGTATTTTTATCGTGAGAAGGGTACAGCAATCCCTTCCCTCGCGACTTACGAAGTCGATTGTGGTTTACTAACAAACGAGCTTTGCAGCGCGTCGCTTTCATCCTAGACCAGGATTTATTTAGTGAAAAAAAAACTCTCTCTGCCGGGACTCGAACCCATGACCTGGCCCTTAGCAGGCTGCGAGGCTACCCACTAGACCACCGGGGCGACCGGTCGGTATCTGGGTGTGTGGGCGTGTCCACGGTGTCAGGAGATTAAAAAAATCGGATAACATTTTTGGACAGCCCAACCCTGTCGAAAGTTGGCCAAAAAGGGACAGGATGGCCATTGGGGAGATCTTCTGTCGCTGTTCCTTTTTGGGAGGTCCAAAAATGCAAAAAAAGACCACGTAATAACAAGTAGTTCTTGGTCAGTTGTCCCTTTTTGAGAAAAGAGACAGCCCAAAAAAAGACCACGTAACAAGTGGCCTTACTTAGATGTCTCTGCTACTAACGAAGCAGTTGATCACCCTCCTCCAGCCAGGGGGCGCTTGTTTATCAACCAACAACCTGGTAAATTAATCGAGCTCTTCTAAGCTCTTTCGCTGCTGCCAAATTCCACTCCGAACAGAATTTGGTTTCCACACAAGAAAACCACACAAGTAGTAGTACCTGGATTTTGTGTTTGTCTACAGTTATTGAAGGCGTCTTTGTATGCATACCGCGCTCAATTTTTTTCAGCTCGGGTAAGCTATGCGCACGAGATCGCGGCGGTGGGCCTACACTACGAACAGGCCTCGACTTGTTTCTGTCGAAATGATTTCAATCGGAGCGTCACGTCGTCACCACCACTCACTCAGCTTTTATCATATCAAACAAAAATCTGTTTCGTCCCATCCATACCGCTAGTAGTCTTTAGGTGGGAGGGGGGGCTTGAACCAACCTCTATCCGTAGCCAAAATCATATCACACTTCTCCTCTACATCCCACCGCAACGCCAATCAACGTGATACGAGGTAATCATATTCAATTCGTTCCTCCAAGCATTTTTTCCAGCTAGGAAAATATGCCTTACTCTTGGTAGTTGTCTTGTGTAGGCTGTTTCATTCAGCTTACGGTTTTCGTGCGGCCTCTGCTCTAGGATTTTTTTGATGGTTGGCGATGGTGCTGCTTCGCAACGCCGACCAACACTTGGGCATCCTCCTGGAACCTGTCCAGCCGGCGCTCTAGATCCATGTTCAAATCTGCGGCGGCACCCTTCTTCGCCTAGTAGAACGAATTGGCGTCAAGGACGTTGAATCCCGAGGAAGAACACAGACAGGACGAGCCGGGGAGGGGGTCGGAGAAGTGTGGCGTTATGAAGATCATATGTATGTATGTATGTATCCGAACGCTAGCCGTCCCACTTTCACATCAATTTATTGTCTAGACTGTTTTGCGCAGTATTCCGCAGTGAAGGGCTTTTTCGACCAACAAAAGAACAACGACCGAGCCAAGCTTTTCTTGCAACAAAAAAAAAATGTGTGTTGTCATTTTTAGTGCTGGCTGTGCTGTTGGATTGCCCTCTGTTGTGGTATTTATTTACTGATCATTGATCTATCTTGTTTTTGGCCCACGCGATGCCTGTTGCGAACCAAAGCTGGTATTTTCAATAAATGTATAATTGCAGCAGCAGCAGTAGACTGACTGGCGTTTTCACCTTCGACAACCCTGGCAGCGGCGGATTGAGTTGGGGTGGACGTCGAGAAGAAGAGGCATCTTGGTCTTCTTCCGCTTGGCGGTTCTGCTCTTCTCGTCCCCCCCGCCTCGCTAGCATCTCCTCCAGCCTAACCGACGTCAATCGGCAACGTTCCTGCGCGCCACAAGAAGAAAGAAAGGCAGGAAGCAAGCAAAGATTTTCCTTCGTCATTGATGACCTACACATATATATGACGGTGGTGCGTTGCGTTGTCTGGAGACCACTTTCCTTTTTGTTGTTGGTGGTGGTTGTTGGATAGCGTTGCTATTGTGCAGCAAACGTCTCAGAAGAGGAAAGACTATATACAGTCCCTCCACCCCTCAGCAGGATGAAGTGCACCCTCCATGCGAGTCGCCGAATACCTCACGGCGCTTCGCGCTTGGTGGTGTAAGGGCCTGGTGCGGTGAGAACCCGGCGTGCTCCGTCCCGCCTTTGTAGGGATGCGAGGCCAATGGTCTAACAACTACTAGACTACGCAGCCTGCAATGCAATGAGTACACCCCCCCCCCCCCCCCCCCCCCCCCCCCCCCCCCCCCC